TTATTAAACAATAAGATCGTAATAAAAAAAAAAAAAAAAATCCACCTATAGAGTCACGTTAACTAAGTTTTTTGCCGAAAAACGGCGCCGGCAGCCTCCGAAACGGTTTAAACCGGTCTGGCAGCCAGTCTCCGTAGTTGTGGCAGCTGGAAGCCAGTCTCCGTAGTTGTGGCAGCTGCCACAACTACTGGCAGGTGTCAGTGAAGACTGTCACCCTGATGTGACAGCTGTCAATTCCCACTTATTTTCAGACGAATTACCTCTAGGACTTTATGAAATGCTTGACACATTTTATTAAACAATAAGATCGTAATTAAAAAAAAAAAAAAATCCACCTATAGAGTCACGTTAACTAAGTTTTTTGCCGAAAAACGGCGCCGGCAGCCTCCGAAACGGTTTAAACCGGTCTGGCAGCCAGTCTCCGTAGTTGTGGCAGCTGGAAGCCAGTCTCCGTAGTTGTGGCAGCTGCCACAACTACTGGCAGGTGTCAGTGAAGACTGTCACCCTGATGTGACAGCTGTCAATTCCCACTTATTTTCAGACGAATTACCTCTAGGACTTTATGAAATGCTTGACACATTTTATTAAACAATAAGATCGTAATTAAAAAAAAAAAAAAATCCACCTATAGAGTCACGTTAACTAAGTTTTTTGCCGAAAAACGGCGCCGGCAGCCTCCGAAACGGTTTTAAACCGGTCTGGCAGCCAGTCTCCGTAGTTGTGGCAGCTGCCAGTAGTTGTGGCAGCCTAGTGGCAGCTGCCACAACTACTGGCAGCTGCCAGTAATACGCCGTGGCAGTCCGACCTGCCACCGGAAGTTCAAGAGCGACCTGCCAGTGCCACAAATCGCGCTTGCTGTCTCTCAGAAAAAGCCTGTTTTGAAAAACTGGTAAGCTATAATAATGAGTTTCATTTCAGAAGACATGTATACATTACAGAACAAAAGATTGGACACACCTTCTCATTCAGAGAGTTTTCTTTATTTTTAATGACTTAGAATATTAAAGATTCATACTGAAGGCATCAGAACTATGAATTAACACATGCAGAATTATATACTTAATAAAAAAGTTTGAAACAACCAAAAATATGTCTTATATTCTAGGTTCTTCAAAGTAGCCACCTTTTGCTTTGATTACTGCTTCGCACTCTTGGCATTCTCTTGATGAGCTTCAAGAGGTTTTCACCTGAAATGGTCTTCCAACAGTCTTGAAGGAGTTCCCAGGGATGCTTAGCACTTGTTGGCCCTTTTGCCTTCACTCTGCGGCCCAGCTCACCCCAAACCATCTCAGGTCCAGTGATTGTGGAGGCCAGGCCATCTGCGCACCTCTCCTAGGTAAAATAGCCCTTACACAGCCTGGAGGTGTGTTTGGGGTCATTGTCCTGTTGAAAATAAATGATGGTCCAACTAAACGCAAACCGATGGAATAGCATGCAGCTGCAAAAAGCTGTGGTAGCCAGGCAGGTTCAGCATGCCTTCAATTTTAAATAAATTCCCAACAGTGTCACTTGCAAAGTGCCCCCATACCATCACACCTCCTCCTCCATGCCTCACAGTGGGAACCAGGCATGTAGAGTACATCCGTACACCTTTTCTGCGTCGCACAAAGACACAATGGTTGGAACCAAAGATCTCAAATTTGGACTCATCAGACCAAAGCACAGATTTCCACTGGTCTAATGTCCATTCCTTGTGTTCTTTAGCCCAAGCAAGTCTCTTCTGCTTGCTGCCTGTCCTTAGCAGTGGTTTCCAAGTAGCTATTTTGCAATGAAGGCCTGATTCAGTTTTTCTAGAGATGTGTCTGCTGCTAGAACTGTGTGTCATTGACCTGGTCTCTAATCTGAGGTGCTGTTAAACTGCGATCTCTGAGGCTGGTGACTCGGATGAACTTATCCTTCGAAGCAAAGGTTATTATTGGTCTCTTTCCTGGGGCGGTCCTCATGCAGCGCATGATGGTTTTTGCGACACTTTCAAAGTTTTGCCAATTCTTCTGACAGATTGACCTTCATTTATTAAAGTCATGATTGCCACTCGTTTTTTTACTTAGCTGCTTTTTTTCTTGCCATAATACAGTCTATTCAGTAGGACTATCAGCTGTGTATCCACCTGACTTCTGCACAACACAACTGATGGTCCCTACCCCATTTATAAGGCAAGAAATCCCACTAATTAACCCAGACAGGGGACATCAAAGGAATTAGAAGGTGTGTCCAAACTTTTGCTCTGTACTGTACATGTCCGCCACAGTTAATGCTGGCTGTAACACATATATGTCAAGAAGAATACAGGGTTAAAAAAAAAAAAAAAAAAACACTATTTATTATTTGCGGTTATTATAGAGCCTGAAATCCTGAGGTGTTGAGTTCAAGCCCCACTCCCACAGAGTGCCACTCTGGGTCCCTGAGCAAAGACCCTTAACCCCACACTGCTCCCCGGGTGCCCCACAGTGGCAGCCCACTGCTCCCTAAGGGGATGGGTTAAATGCAGAGGTAAATTTCTCCAATGTGAGATCAATAAAGTTAAATTACTATTATTAAATAAAGGTCGGTTCAGGCGCTACATGCTAACTATGACCGACCAGATTAAACTGGGCCTAAAAAAAAAAAAAGAGAGAAGCGAGCCTACCTTTGCGTTTCCTTAATGATGGATGTCATGTCTGACTTTGCTTTACTAATAAAGAATAAAACTATATCAAAACTGTGGCAGCATCCTCACGCTGATGTTATTGTTCCTGCTTCCGGTTGTTACAAGGCAGTCACGTGAGAGAGAGAGTGGTCTACGGAAAGCGCGATGGACAAACTGTTTCAGAGGCCTATCCGTTTTTGTTTTTTTAATGACAAACGGACTTTGGTTTTATTAAAAGTAAGTCATGCTTTGATCAGGCCTAGCTGCATCTGTAACACTAAACTAAACGAAGTGGACAATTATATCCTGACAGAGTGAGCTTTGACAACGTTTCATCCTCAATAAATAAAACTAAAAAATCTAAAAAATACATTCAAATGGGTATGACATTGAGATAGTGGACTCTTATAAGTACCTAGGTGTTCACCTGAATAACAAACCTTACTGGACTCACAACACTAAAGCTCTCTACTAGAAAGGTCAGAGCAGACTCTTCCTGCTGAGGAGACTGATGTGGAGTGCAGGGGACACTCCTAAAGACCTTCTATGACAGCCATCCTCTATGGAGCTGTCTGTTGGAGCAGTGGCTTATCTGCAGCTGAGTGAAAGCGACTGGATAAGCTGATCAGGGATACCCTCTGGACTCAGTGCAGATGGTGGGAAACAAAAGGATCCTAACTAAAATAACATCTCTATTGGATAATGTCTCCCACCCCATGCATGAAGCTGTTGCAGAACTGGAGAGCTCCTTCAGTGACAGACTGCTGCACCCTAAATGCACCAGGGAGCGTTATCCCAGATCTTTCCTACCAGCAGCTGTAAAACTCTATAACCAACAACCTCAATAAGTTTCATGCTGATTTTTGCTGTTTCTGTCTTAGTCAGTTAAATAACATGCTGCTGTCATTTTGCACATATCTGATGGTGCTATATATATATATATATATATATATATATAGATTATTTTTTTTTTTTTTTACAAATCCATTACTGTAAAAATGTCCACAGCTGTTTATTGATTATCAACTCTCCTGGTACACAGTATTTAAATCAGTGCAATATATACGTGTATATACAGTATACTCTTTACCATGTATATACATGGTACAGCTAGCTCTTACTCATAGAAAACATATTTATTGTGCAGGAATAAGGACTAATCTGTTACACTGGTAGCCAAGTAATCGACATTTCGTTGTCAAGATTTACCTTGTGTTTTTTTGTGCAATGACAATAAAGGAATTCTAAGTCTAATATGGTACCGTACTTAATTGTCTTAACTCTGTCACGAATTCTGTTATTTTTATACACTTTCTAAGGTCCACATTGTGTTACCACTTCTGCTATAACCTTTTACTGCTGTAACACCACAATTTACCCATTGTAAAGGGATAAAGGGACTTTCTATTCTATTAAATTAAAATGCTCTCTATTTATGACTTAAGCCATTTTAAGGGGCAAAAATAAAGAGATTTGTAAAGGGGGAATAAATATTTCACAGGAATGTAAAAAAAAAAAAAAAAAAGGATTTAGCACCAAATAGGTGATTTCCAAAAACATACCGTATACATATTTCTTTCCTTAAGCATTCTACAAATGCAGTTAATTTGTTATGTTCTAAACCCAACACTTTCTTCATGCTATCCACTTCTAAAAGACTATGGCAAATGCTCTTCATGATGGAAAAAATTACACCATCTCAAGTAAAGCCTGAAGAACTACTGACTGAAAAGCAAAATATATGCATGAGTCAAGCTCTGGGTTCATTTGAAACAAAGATTTTATTCATCATTCTATCACTGGTTGCCTGTTGAAAAGAAAATTCTCAGAATCAATCCCCTGCAGCTAATCTGAACATTACTGCACAGTAGTGTAGCAGCTAAACTTTCCACATGAAGTCTAAAGCAGTAGCCAGGAGCTCATAAGGGTTTTTGAGGACGCCCAACATTAAAAAAAATCATGTGATGTACGATTGTTTAATTTACCATAACTGTACACACTGCAATGAATCCATATTTCCTTCTTTTCTCTCGTCTACATTTGCAAATTATGATGCTTCAAAGATTTATATGACCTTAAGCATCTGGAAAAACCATAATCTATGTCAGGCATTGCCATCTACTGCAGTTGGATCCAAAAGGCTAATAATATCAGCATAAACAATGTGCAATTCTAATTTCAGATTGGCCAACAAATATTGCATGCTTTAGTAATATTTTGAATATTAACAATAAGCTAACAAAGACTGAGATGACTGTGCAGTCATGGTGCAGTGATACAATAAGCAATGCTTCAGTATGTTATGCATTGTGTTTTATGAAACCCAAATACAGTATAAGATGGTAATACGAAGGGAATAATTCAACAACACACATTGAGTTTTGTCAGTTTATTGTTGAAAAAGAAGCCAAGAAAATCATAGACAGGAAAAAAACTATATAATCATTTCATAAATCATGACATCTTTTAAAATGGTCCATGTACTCTTAAGGAAAAAAGCTGCTTTTATATGCAGCCAAGTTTCTGTTTTTTCTAATTTATTATAACATTATTCTTTAATTTATATCCAAAGCACTGCAAATGATCTGAAATATTCTTCACTTAAATGCCTGCTGCCCCCAAGAAAAAAAAAAAAAAAGTACCATACCTTCTTTGGAGTAAACACCTTTTTTATTTCAGTAACAAATTGCCACAGATCTAGAGATGCTTAATGCTACGAGCCAACCTCCAGTGAGGCAGAAGGAATGTAAATCTCTTAAATACTTCTTTCTTCTTCAAACAGAAAAAAAACAAAATACATAATACGATGTTCAATAATAAAACCAAGCATATAACACTACAACACGGAGTGAAATCACACAGTACCTTCCTGACTGAAGGAAGGGTAATAATTTGAGTTTTGGTAAACAGATTGCATCACGGTAAACATCAGCCAAAGCCTCAAGGCTTATGAATCTTGCCGTCGCTATTTGAAGGAGGGTAAATTTGGCACTTTTATGCTGATGTCACCGATGTTGATGTTTTTGGGCATTTCCGGGAGGTTCATGTTCTTAACCGCTGACACTGCTCGAGCCGGTGCTCCTGCGATGCCAGCCTGTGCCAAACCCAAACACACACACACAAAACACACACAAGGAGGATAGATAAGACACAAACCAGTGAATCACTATAACAGTTTAACACAAGAAGACACCGAGTAGAAAACGTAACTTGGACGAACCACAATCATTTGCTGACAAAATGCAAAAGCACTGAGACAGACAACATAGGCAAAATGTACATTCAGATGCCTTTAGAGCTTTTTATGCACATGCATTTTCTAATTCTAGAATGAAGGACAACACAACCAGAGCCTATTAGGAGTGGACTGTGAGGACATACTGTACTAAATTACTCATTCACTGATTTTGATGCACTGAGCAGCACTGAACACTCATCAAATGGACAAAAAGGAGGAACTGCTATGAAAGGGGAAATCGCTGGATAATTGTGGTCAGTGGGGGTAAAAATGCAGGAAAGAATTGTGTGAAGCAGAAAAATGGATCTGGGTTTAAAGATAACGGATGTTCAGATAACTGCATGTCTACAAAATGTGGGCGTCTGAGTATTATGCATAATAATGCAGGTGATACTGTACCTCTAGTAGGCTGAAGCCTATAAATGACTGTAGCTACCATTTCTCTGTGTAAAACACATTTCTGTGAGTAGAGATATAAATGTTGTGGCATGTAAACATATAAGGACACATCTCAGTGAATTAGGATATCATCAAAAATATAGTTGAGTGATTCAAAATTTGCTAATCCATTTTATTGAGATGTGCATCTACCTAAACTTTGTTCGCATAGAAACAGATAACATCTATCAGTGATGCTACTAGAAGATCTTTAGCCTAATAAAATTCAACTACAAGGTGAGAACTACTCTGAGGAGAAAGGAGGAACTACACTCTAACAGAGTGAATCTCAACAGATAAAATGACAAGGCAAATTTGGCCTCCATTAGATTAGATTTTCTAGAACATTTAAACATTTAAAGAGGGTGAACACTCTTTGCCTATAGCTAAGCAGACATTTGAGAATCACTGCAGTTAGAGACCTCGAAACTGAATCTTTAGCCGACAGACCCATAAATCACAAAAATGACTTATTTTACTTTTTTTTAATCTGAGAATAAACACTCAAAACATGTTTTGAAAAAAAAGTCAGAGTGAGGGAAAGTATGTCTGGCATGTGGATAAATCCAAGCCCTTCTTTCACAAGGTTGTCTAAATAGGCTATTGGTCCAATGCGGATTCTTTTCTCTGCCAGGAATTGACAGCCAGGTCACAGGAGAGGAATGCTGATGCAGCACATGAGTGCAGTATTCAGAAGACAGAAATCATTATCTTGCTGGAAGTTGAACTGAACACCAAGTACTACTTATTGATGAACAAATGTATGTATGCTTCAATACAAAACAGTGATCCAATTTTCTGCACCATATACAGTATGAGGCATCAGAAGACTATGGCAGTATATGGTGTCTGTTAAACTGCAGCCACACTGTTTACTATCATCTTGTCTTGAAAATATTTCACAACGGTCTGATGGTGCAGAGGGTAAGTTTTTTTTTTTTTTGGAGCATTAAGCATTGTAATGCCTTCATAGCACATATGCCTTTGATGAGCTCCATATTTGAATATCGTCATGTTCTATTGCATAAAGATGGGGGCTGGTACTTTAAAGACAAAAAAAAAAAAAAGACAGGGCCAATGAACTGAACACATTCTTCAACAGGTTTAGCTCAGGATCCTTCATTCCTGCCCTCAGTTAAACAGACATCTAAACCTTCTTTGATCCAAAGCCTCTTCTCAAACCTCAAAGGTTTCATCGTCCACCTCCTGGTTCTCTAAATTTGCTCTCAACTGAATCAGAAGATGGTGCTGCTCCCTCCACCTTCTACCTGTCTGTTTCTAATTGCAAAAAGGCACCAGGTCTAATTGGTGTCAGCTCAAGAGTGCTGAAGGCCTGTGCAGAATGGATTCTACAGTACCTCTTCAACCTTAGCTGAACCAGGAGGCAGTTCAATTGTGGAAGAACCTTTGCCGTATTCCAGTACAGAGAAAACTAAGCCAACAGTCCTCAGTGACTATAGACCTGTTGTCCTAATATTCCACATCATGAAGGTCCAAGAAAGACTCCAGTTGGTCCAACTACACAAGCAAACAGCTATTGTAACACGCTGTAGTTTGCAGCCAAAAAAACCCTAAACCTGAATTCTCATTCCAATTCCCACTACCTACTCTAACAAAGTAATAATTATTAATCTCTGCTTCTATGTTCTTTTTGCTTTCCTGTGACTGTCTTCTTAAACCCCTAATCAGCTGCAGCAGATGGGCTGGTTCTGATGAAGGTTTCTTAGTGTAAAAAAGGAAGCTTTTTTCCTCCCTACTGTTGCTGCATAAAAGCTCTTTCTGGGTGATTGCTGAAAAGTCAACGACACTATACAAGCGACTCTTCAGTCATTACATGCTCATCCAAGAGGAGTGAATTCTGCAAAATCAGTGACTTGTTGCAATCAGCTGGGTTTCCAGACAGAAAACTTTAAACCAATTCAATCGTATAATTTGACTGAAGTGATCCTATAACAGATTACATATGTGAATTGACATTATATTAATGAATAAATAAATGTATTCTTCTATTATAGGCTTAACTGAGATCTCAACACCACTGTTTACAGTTAACTTTGGTTATTCCTGAAATGATCATCAAAATTCCACACATCAACCCTAAATCTACACTTAAAGCTTAATCTCATACATGATCTCATACATGATATTAATTTTTTGCCTCATGGCATGAGGGACACCTCTGGTAAAAATGTCATTAAAATCTGTACACAACTTATCCAAGTGATCCTGCTGACCAACCATCAAAGTAACAATCAAAAATACAATCGTTGGCAGTATTAAAAAGGAAACTGAATCACCTAAATTTTTTATCTTTATGATATTTTAGTCCATTTAAAGCGAAATTATTATAACTCAGTTTGGTGGTTCTGAAGACTCCACCTGTATATTTATATTAGAAACATCAGACATTCAATCAGCTTGCTTAAAAAAAAAAACTATGTTGCCAAACCAAACTGCAGTCATGTCAAAAAGTTAAATTTTACTAGTAAAGATCCTTAAGAGAAAAAAAAAAATATTTCAAACTGGAGTTTCCTTAGGCATGCTTTGCTTAATGTAATGTTCAACTAAAGCCAGTGCAGGTTGATAGCGATATAATTTAAATCAGTGTTTCTGAACCCTGGTCCTCAAGGCCTACAGTCCTTTGTGTCTCTGTCAAAGAGACAAACTGGATTCAACTGCATAAAAAAAAACATTTCGTTGCATTGCTGCCATTTTCTAAACTAGTAAAACTTTATATACTTCTACTGCATGTTTCTCATAGCATCTGGTGAACATTAATCTTCATAAGAAATGTAAATATTGGTTGCATGTTTTTTTTTTCTTCCCTGAATGCTTTCTGTATGTGAAGATTGTTATCTAAAGGTTTTTAATTGGTTGTTTTGTTTTTATTTACTTTTTACTTTAACTTTTTTATTGACTTTATTTACTTTGATTACAGTTGAAAATTAGCTTAATTTATATAATTTGGGCATGTTCACATTTTGATTAATGGACATTTTTCATTGTCAAATAAACACATTGACATTAGAAAAATAAAATCTTTCAAAGGCCAATAGTTCCCCAAAACCAAAAACTCCCTAACCTACACATGCTTTATGAACCTGTTGATCAGAGTTTCATTTAAGTCACTTTTATGATAACAGAAAAATAAAACAAAACGTGCATAAAATCAGATTCATATTCAATAGAATATATTGTAAAATTGTAATAGTTTGACTGTACCCTGCTGTCAGACATAAAGGGAACGCTTTTTGGTCCTAGTTATTGAGATAAAACTGGGGTGTTTCTGGGTCTGTCGTGAAAGATTCCTACTATATGTTAGTGACGCCAGTTTACCGTTAGATGAAAGGCTGTGTGGAGAGACTCAAAGGGACGTAAAAAAACTTCATTTAAGGTTACAGTATTTGGTTGTAGATTTATCAGTACCTTTGTCTACCTGTCCTGCCTGGTAGACTGAAAGATAAAGGTCTGTAAAGAGAGAGAAGAATGGAAAGAACTGGACAGGGTCAGGAAAAAGAGGAATGAGGAATGTTAAAGCAGATTAAAGTAATTACAGTTTATCTCCACAGATAGTGATAGGACCTATAGTACACCACATCTGGAAGAAGAAACATCAATATTTCTCTGTTAATTTTTATTTTTAATGTATGTGAAATACGATAGCCTAAAGGTATGAAAAATTCATCAGTTTGGAAGGTGGACAGCTTCATCCAGTTTTGACCTTTAAACCAACGGTATCAGATAGAATTAGCATCATTGTATAAAAACCACCGTGGTCTACGATAGGTCCAAAAGGAAAAAGACAGAACAGCTCTTGATGCCAGAACAGTAAAAGACTGCTTACAAGGCTGCTAATCACACAAAAAAATTATCTAACTGGCTAAAAGCATACAATAAAATTCAGATTAATGTAAAGAAAAATGACTTTAGATTTCAAAAACACAAAAGCAGCCAACCTGGTTTCATCGATTTGGTCATTTATGGTCATACATCGCAAAGTCCAAAGGGAAAACTGATCTGGTTAAATCATCTCTGGTTCTTTTTCTAACTTCGCTCGGTGTTTCACTATGGGAATCGCCTTGGCGTGACCAACTACGGAAGCTCCAATGACATCACGTCTGTCTGAGACAGACAGGTTGAGCCGTGTCCGTGGCTCCACCCACCAGCTAGATCACGGCCAACCTACCCGCCTCAACTCATTCTCGCTTTCTTCCCGTGTGAAGACTACAACTAAGCTCCCTCAGCGCGCTCAGGTTAGCTTGGACCTGTTTAACTGTTCTCAGGCGTTCCGTAAAGGAAAACGTCGCTGAACGCAGGACCAGGACAGGCCTGTACCGTGCTGAGTAAGCGCTTTGGCAGAAGCACTTTCTGGAACACAAACGCTGGGAGCGGTGACCGCGTAAAGGCGAGCTGTCCCT